TTAACAAATTCCCTGAAGGTTGGCTTATCTGGAAATCTAATTTCACTATCATATTTGAGGGACAATTTTGCCAGGTATGTAATTCTTGGTTGAAAATTTTTCTCTTTCAGGGTTTTATATATACCATCCCATTGCTTTCTTGCTGTCACGGTTTCTTCCAAGAAATCAGAGCTTATTCTTACTGGGTTGTCCTTTGTAAGTAACTTTTCGTTTTTCCTGTACTGCTTTCAGGATTCTTTGTCTTTGGTTTTGATGAGTTTGATGATGATATGTCTTGGTGATTTTCTATTGGGTCTAGCCTGTTTGGGTTTCTTTGGACTTTCTGAATGGATATATTCTCATCTTTCATCTTATCAAGGAAGTTCTCTTCCAACTCTTGGACAATTTTCTCAGTGGTTTTATTTTTCTCTTCCTGTTCTGGAATTCTAATGACACGTAGGTTATTCCTTTTGATGGTAACCTCCATGAACCTTAGGCTTTCTTCATTTTGTTTTGATATTTTTTCTGATTAATCTGTTTTCAAAGAAGTATTCAGGTATTTGTCTTCAATCTCATTATTAAGAATATAATAATAATAATTCTGTCTTCCATTGCATCAATTCTACTCCTTTGCCCTTTCAATGTGTTATCTATTTCTGACAATTTAGTATTAACCTTCTGGATTTCTATCTGTAGATTTTGAATCATTTCTAGTTTTTGTCATTTTGTTCTTGTATTTTCTCCCAAAATTCTTCTAGGGTTTTGTCTGTGTTTTCCTTGGTCTGTCTCCTTTGAAGGTTCCTAAATACAATTCTTTGGTATTCCTTATCAGGGATTTCCATTGTTGCTTCTTCCTCAGGGATGTATTCTCGGTCTGTATCCTGCTCGTTTCTACCACTTTATCTTGGTTCATGTGGACTGTGATGCTCTTGTCTCTGAGACATTGTGATATTGTTGTAGTTAGATCTCTGTTAACTGTGCAGAGCAGCTAAGGGTGAGGCAGGATCTTCTTGGTAGTTGTTTATCATTGGCCTGTTGGTGGAGAAGGAAGTGGTGGCTCTTAGTGTGTGTCTTATGGGGACTATTGCTCTCTCCCACTCAGACAAAAGTAACAATTGAATAACCATCAAGAAAGTAAAAGCAAGTGGACAAAAACAGACTGTGTGATCACACAGGAACAATAATCAAAAAAAAAAAAAAAAAGAAAGAGTGGAACAAAACAAAACAAAACCACAGTAACTGGGGAGAGGGCAATAGGAGAAAAAAGTAGAAAAGGAGACTTAAGAAGAAAAAAATGGGAAAAATGCAGAAAGGAAAACAAGGAATGAGGTTAACCATTAGAAAGAAAAAAAAAAAAAATATTGCAACCTGGAACAAGGAAAAGGAAAAAAGCTGAAAACTAGAACCTGGGAAGGGAAGAATAAATAATAATAAAAAGGACAAAAGTAGTAGTAATAGTAGTTTTAATACAGACAAAAACAAACAATAAAAAAAAAAAAAAAATTAGGGCAGGGCAGGGCACCTAGGTTCTGACCGAGCACACAGACTGGGATGGAATTCCTGCCAGCCTAAAAGGTGGGTAGGAGTGAGGGATGGTCACACCTCTGTTCACCAAGAGGGTGTGGGATATAAGAGTAACAAGGGGAATGTTGCAGCTTTCCAGTGGTCTGGTCCTGAATGTCCTTGTGGTTCCCAGCAAGTGGAGCCTGTTCTTAAGTCCCTGGAATCTGGGAGAATGCTGTCACTTTAAATATCCAAAATGGTCAAACTGCTTGTAAGCATTCAAAATGGCTGTCCCCTCCTGACAGGCAAAATCCACAGCTCAGCCTGCCTTCCTCTTTGCTGCTTCCCCTTTTATTCACCAGCCACCAGAGCAGTCCTGCACGCAGTTCCAGGGTATCAGGGCTGAGTTTTGGGTTCTTAGGTGCTACCACCACTCAGCAATATCCAACGTGTCTGTGCCATTAGGATTGCTGCCAGACTACAGCTCCATATGTCTCTATTTTTGGAGTTTTCATGCAAATTCTTCTGCTAGTTGGAGTTTAGTCCACTTCTATATCCTTCCCTTCAGAGCTCAGGGGTCCAGGATTATCTTCTGTATCTGTATTAGTTGGTTCCCCTTTTCTTTGCTGAAGAGGGTCTGTGCAGTCTTTCTGCCTATTCCACCATCTTACCCTAACTCTGTAATTTTGGTTTTTTAATGTGAAAAATAAGTTTGGAACCTGCTCTAGGTTTATGAAAGTAAGATAACTGATAAAATTTACTTTACAAGTGTTTCTCCATGGGAAGGAATTTTCCCCTGAGTGTTTGTGGTTACCTGGTGGTGCTCTAATGCAATATACCACCAATGGGATGGCTTTAACAAACAGGAGTTTATTCTCTTACAGTTTGGAGGGCTTAAGCCCGAGTTCAAAGTACCAGGCTCTAGGGGCTGGGTGAAAGCCCCTCAACCTTGGGTTTCAGCTCTGCCTCATGCTCCTGGCCCACTGAAGCTAGAGGCTTTTCTTCAAACAGCTACTGGCTGCTGAGACTGACAAGCCTAAGGTTGACAAGTAAAAAGGCACAGTCCCGATGTTATCAAACTACATGGCATGCCGTTAATTCAAGTCCACTGAAAGTCCCAATGTCGGGAGAGCATGGGAGGCTGCTGGATGACTTGACTATATGCAGGGTTCAAGCAAGCCATAAGCTAGAGACCATACCCAAAGCTGTTTCTTATATACAGGAAGCAGACCACCTACCCACAGCAGCTACTCAGCTGCTCTAATTGATTCCAGCATGGAGTTAATTACCAGTCTCACCATGGAGAATAATTACATTCAGCTGCCCAGCCACTCAAACAGGCCCAGCCAAGTTGACATACAAACTTAACCACAACAGTGTTTTTGTGTTGAGCAAAATTCCATTATTTGGAATAATGGAAATTATTGGAAGGAAACTGTGACACCTGCATCACTATGGACTATAAAATTCACCTATGAAGTATTTCTAATGTTTCCTTCCCAGAATGGTGGCCTGCTCTTAGTTTTTCTTCCAAAGATAGTGAATTCAGTTAGGTAGTAACAAATGCAACCAAAATATTCATAAGACTTTGCTTAGAGCAGGGATTTTAAACCTCAGCAATACTAACATTTTGGGGTATATAATTCTTTGCTGTGTGATGTTGACTTATTTATTAAATGTTCAGCAGTATCCCTGGCCTATATATACCCACTGTCAGAAACACTCCCCTAACACGTCTCCAGACATTGACAAATGTTTCCTGGGTTCTCTCTCACTCTGGCTGAGAACTACTGGATTAGAAAATTGTCTCTGTGTGTAAATATTTCTCTAAGAAAATATTGTAAGAAATTTTATTAGTTCAATGTAAATTTTTTTTTTTTTTTTTTTTTAAAGATCAGAATAGAAACCAGAGTGGACATCTTCTATTTCTGGAACAGATGCCACATGTATTTGCTTTGTGGTTTCTGATAGGACCCTGCTTGTCTGATGCTTACAGTGATCTGGACTATGGGGTCAATAACTCACATAGAGGTGGGACCTCTCCCCAGGTGTGGGCCATGGAACTGTGCAGGAGCCCAGAGGCTGACACAATCAGCAAAGGGTCTCTACATCTAGAATCGTTTAGATGACTTCCTTTTGAGTCTTCACTAAAAAACTACCAGTACTGCAGCTTTATTAGACTTGGCTGTAAGTATAGGCATACCTCTGACAAATTTTGGGTTCTGTTCCAGACCACTGCAATAAAGCAAATATTGCAATAAAGTGATTCATGAATTTTTTTGGTTTTCCAGTGTGTATGAAAGTTATGTTTCCACTATACTGTAGTCTATTAAGTGTACAACAGCATTATTAAAAAAGATTGAAATACTGAGAGATTACCAAAATGTGAGACACGATGAGCACATGCTGTTGGAAAAATGGGTACTGATGGACTTGCTTGACACAGGGTTGCCACAAAACTTCCATTTGTAAACACATTACCTGCAAAGCACAATAAAATGAGGTATGCCTCTACCACTTAACCTTATTCCTACAATGGCATGGAGGCACATTTAACACAACAAAAGTCTTTATCTTTTGCCAGGAAAAAAATCTAACTATCGAAAACATGAAGATAATAGACCTTTGTTAATGATAAGAAGTTGCTCCAAAATAAAACTATGTTTACTAATATTTATAGATTTGTTTCAAATCTTTGTGTTTAACACACTTTAAAAAAAAATTACAGTATTGTGTAAAGAGGTAAAAGACCTGCTGAACACAGAAGTTCTTCATGTGACAAGATACTAATACATTTCTTTCAAGCAGCTCAAATACTGTTTTCTGACACAGAAAATATACACAATGTCACCTATACACTTAGTGGTATGGGCATGCACATTTGTGTGTGGATACAACTGAACAAGTTAGGAATGGATTAATAACAGATTATTTGAGTTTCAAACCTGTTGTTTTAGAAGCTTTGTGACTTTTTTCCTTTTCCCCCAGTACTACTAAAAAACTAAACTAAGCTCACTTCTGTCAAGGTGATTCAACTCAAAGATGCCTCCTTGGGTTTCTGAGGCGATACCTCTAGTGAAGTAGATTACCCAATCTTCCTTCCAAGGAGTGGCTTGTGGGTTTGAACTGTCAGCCTTCTGGTTAGCAGTCAAATGTCTCAGGCACTATACCACCAGAGCTCCCTAAATATTACAACTGGCTTAAATTATAAACACAGTTATTTCTATGGTAAGAACATTGATCTGTTTTGTCCCTCATACCTGCCCTACTAGGAAATGAAAAAAAAATGACCCATTAGCACAAGAAAATTTGTGTGGCAATTTAAAATATGTTCATATGCAATAATGGAGATATAGAGTTTACAAATCAAATAAATTGTTAAGGTCTTTTTGTGATGATGGGAAAGGTACAAGAATTTATATTCTCTAACTAGAGAGAAATATCTAAGTAAAAAACTGCATGTAGAATATTATTTTCTTCTGAAATATGTATTTTAAAAAACTTCTCTAACAGAATGATAGATAGTAGGATTTATTTTAATTTCTTCAATTTGCCAACAAAACAAAAAAAACCCAACAACCAAAAAATCAAACTATACTCATATATACAGTGTCAATATTTTCAGAAGCACTTACACTAGGAAACTTGTTTCTCTTCAACTGTATGACAATACTGTATGTGCCACAATAAGATTTACAAAAAGAAATTTCATCAGCAGTCATACAAACATCATGATTTCACATTTCAATACATAAGGAAAAATAGATGCCTTTCTGCCTCCACGTCCTCCAACAGCTGCCCTTCACTGCACTGCAGTTGGTCTCCATGCAGGCTTCCAGAAACTAAGTTTTACAACCTACCAGTGTCTATCTTAAAAATCATATCCTTTCCAGATCCAAACTTAAATAATGAGAAATTTATCATTTTAAAATAACAATCAATAGTTTATTAATGGATAAGGTAAAGTTTGCCCACCAGAAGAGGTGTAAAAAATTGCCACGAAGGTAAAAATAAATAAAGCTGTTTAAAAAGCAGTCTTGTTTTACATTGTATATAGTTCACAACAAAACATTTAAACACAAAACTGCCATTAAAATTTTAAAGTAATTACTCATATTCAGATGACAACTTTTGGACAAATCTAATGAAAACAAGCTGATTTGGTAAGAGGTTCAGACATTCACAGTCCAGCAGATTGCCCACCAGTGTGCCCTAGCTGTGATGACATATTGCTGTGTTCTGACATAAGGCACTATGATCTGAATATGCCACACACTCACCTTATGTCACATGACCTGCCGCACACCAGCAGACCCTTTGAAATGGAAAATAAGACAACTTCCAGGACACAGTGCATTTTTATGACAGACAGCATCTGAAATCTCAGACTAAGGTCTGGCATAGTCTTTTAATGCAAGCCTGACTCTTCAAGCGCATAAATCTTTCATTTTTAGGCTTTGTTTCAATGTAACTGGAAAAAAAAATACTCATCACTAAACCCTGATATACATTCTTAGCCATTTTACTCTCTTCTATTGTGGTCAGTGTTCAAGAGGTAAAATGTGACCCAGAGTGCTTTTCAAGTTCTTCTTGAGGGCACCTGCACTCACAGCATCACTCAGCTTCTGTCTCCTTCTGTTTGGCACCTGTCAGTCATGAGAAATAAACATTTTGGTATGTTGCAGACATGGATGTGCTCCATGATCAGAGCAGTAGGTCTCTACATCTGGGGTTTTCTAACTACACCCTGTAGTGCCTCAGAAGGATCCTCCAGGCTGCAGAAGAGAGAGAAGCAGAGAGGCAGCAGCCCCTCATCAGAGCAGCTCACTTTTAATACCTACTATACACTAGAATTCTAAATATGTGATCCAATTAGGAAATAAAGAGTTCTGTTGCCAAAAATCTTTTCAAAAAATATGTACATGTTTTAGTGAAGGTACAAAGTATTCTGGTTGTTCATACATTTAAACTGTTTAAAGTAAGTATCTGTAAGAATAAAGGGCTACAACATGGTGCTGACATCAGACTGCTTACTCCTTCCATGTGTGTATAGACATTTAGGCTCATGTGAACAATCTAAATTTGGAAATTGTTGAAAACGTTTTGAAAAAGAGAAAACGGTACTATACTGGATTGGTACCTGTAATGAGAAACTGTGCCCATCATTAGGAGAAAAGAGTATCTGCCAGGGCCTTGCATTTGCATGAACAGTGGATACTTCTTAATAGTGCCTCTCACTGACCATCCCGTATCACCTCTGGCAGGGCTTGGTCTGGGCATGGGCTCATGGGCACAGCAACTCTTAGTCATGTGCCAATTCATCCTCACTGCACCTCAAGAGAAGACAGGACTCATGTGGCTGGGTGATTCTATAGCTGAAGACACTGGTGCTAAAGAAGGAAAGCACTTGGCCAAATTCAGGCAGCTTTCAGGATTAGGACTTCTGGACTCCTGCTCTGATGGTTACACCATGTATTCTCTCATGTATGCTTACATATATTAATTAGTTGATTCAATGAAGGTGGTCCGAATTCTAGAAAAGTTTTCCTCCAAATATTCATGTATAATCTAGTTATTAGGAACATTTCCTAAATAGTTATATAGAGTATATTATAAAGAATTTTAACTCAATTACCCCTATCTACATAACATTTCCATGGTAAGAATATATTTCAAATGCCAACTGTAGATGAGATTTCCTCCCTGCAGCACCATGGACAGAAGGGGCATTAATGACTCAGAATTTTGGAACATCAAATCTGGATGGAAATTTAAACTCATTCAGTATAATTTTCCTCATTCTGCCTCGGAAACCCAAGGAGGGGTCGCTATGAGTCGGGGCCGACTCGACGGCACATAACAACAACAACAACAACAATGGTTTGAGACACCAAGGCATTGAGAAAATAAATGACTACTCTGAGTCTGCAGTGCACAAATAATCATGGCAAAGGGACAAATGGGAGCTGACATCCAGCCTGACCTCACTGGCCAAGCCATGTGCCTCACCATGGGCAAAGGGGTGTTTTTCTGAAGGTGTCACATTGCGTGGACTGCCCACAAAAGAGGCCATCTCTCATTTGAATGAAGGTGCTATCTAGCTTTACTGGTTTGGAAGTTTATGATGCCACTCCTTGGAAGGAAGGTTGGGCAATCTACTTCCATAGTGATACCGTCTTGGAAACCCAAGGAGGGGTCGCTATGAGTTGGAGCCAACTCGACGGCAGTGAGTTTTGTTTTTTACTTTTTAAAATGAGACTATATGGGTTAGCCTGGTGCCCTTTACTCAGTGTTCTTTCTGTACCCATGGCAGGAAATGGCTGTACACCTACTCCTCATTATTGACTATCTTGTCATCTGACATTTCACATTTATAACAATTTTGGAAAAATTATCTTGTGGTGCATCAGATGGTCCAGACCCCACTGGGGGCCGTGGCCAGTACTAGGGTGCCCTCTGTGAGCCACACAAAGATTTTCTTCTCATGTTTGTCTGTGATGGCTTGGTCTGGACACAGAGAGTGCAGAGAAACAGTGGGAATGACAGGCGTTCTCAGGCAAGCAGGGGGAGACTGGGTAGGCACCTGAAGATGTTGGGGAGGAATGTGGGCAAGACAGAAAGGAAGGTAGAGGGAAGAGGGCTGGAGCTGAGGTGGATGGAGGACAAGCAGGTTCCCAGTCTAGGGTGGGTGGCAGTAGGTAATGGGTAACACCCAATCACCACTACCACCTCCACCCCTGAAGTGGTGGGGAAGGGAGTCCCATGGCATCATGCACATCCTGAAATGTGCTGGAGACACCTGACAGGTGGTAAATGATGGGGTGGATGGCAGCAGGGGATACCAATGACAAAGACAGGCATGGCTTCCTACTCATACAATGCTTATTTTGCACAACAACTTGGTTTTTGGAACCCAACCATGTAGGTAAGTGTGGAGTGGGTATTTGCTCACTTTCAAGGCTGTGCAGTATTCCATTGAATGACTATAACAAAGTTTATCCACACCAAAGATGTTACTTTGAAGACTTAGGTGTGCCTGACACCAAGCCATGGTATTTTCAATAGTGTCATATGCATGTGAGAGATGGACACTGAATAAAGACGATTGCAGAAGAACTGATGCATTTGAATTGTGGTGTTGGTGAAGAATACTGAATGTACCATGGGCTGCTAGAAGAATGAACGTATTTGTTTAGGAGGAAATACAGCCTGAATGCTCCTTAGGAGTGAGAATGGTCAGACTTCATCTATAGTACTTTGGTCATCTTATCAGAAGGGACTGTCCCTGGAGAAGGATATCATGCTTAGTAAGAGTCAGCAAAAAAGAGGAAGACCCTCAGTGAGATGGACTGATACTGGCTGCAATGATGGGCTCAAGCATGGCAACAATGGGAGGATGGCATAGGACTGGCAGTGTTGCATTCTGTTGTACTGTATAGTCACTATGAGTCACACCCAACTCGGCGGCACCTAACATCATCATCATTGTGACTTTCAGGTTCTTTACCCTGAAACTTGAAAATGACTGCAGTAGGCCCATTCTCAATGGTTTCTGATTCAGGAGATGTGAGTGGGCCCAAAAATTTACATTTCTAACATGTTTGCAAGTGGCTCTGATGCTGCTGGTCTGAGGAGCACACTCAAAAATCATGGCTCTGCTGGAATCACTCCCTTGGTATTTCAAATCAGTGAATAAGATATCTTCTTGCATGTGGCAGGGATTTTTTTAGGGTGGGTAATTTTCACCTAACAACAGAACAATAAGAATTATAAACTAGTCTTATCTGGATTTGATTGCTTTCTCAACTAAAGGAAAATGAGTATCACAACATACACATAATTTTTAATTCCTAAGAGTTCAAAGTGCAGGTCACTTATTTTCACATCTCTGTCTTGAGTCTAGAGGTCCCTGAGTGACACAAATAGTTTGTGTTTGACTACTAACCTAAAAGTTGGTGGTCCAAAGATACTCAGTGGGACCATGGAAGACAGGCCCAGTGATCTGCTTCCATCAAGGTCACAGCCAAGAAAACTCTATGGAGCAGTTCTACTCTGTACCATATGGGGTCACCATGAACTGGAACTGACTCAACAGCAAGAGGTCTTGAGTCTATGTGGCCCACCAAAGATGGCTGGTTGTATCTGACTGGGGATGGGAAAGGGAGAAGGGGAAGGGGGAGTGGGAAGAAGAAAGGGAGGGCTGGTGATTTTTAAGACCCCTCACATTCTTGTCTCTTATTATTAAATTTGTGACACAATAAAACCACCACCTCTTCTTTTCTAAAGGTCCCTCCCTCCCTGTCTGCAAGTTTAGTGTTTGAGATCCTGAAAGTGAATTAACCACCAGCCTTGCTTGGTAGTTCATATAATTTCCAGACAATACCAATGAGAAAAAGTCTCTGTTTTGGTAATTTGTTTTATGTACACTAGTATATAAACAGTGTGATATAAAACACTGGAAAGGACAGATGAAAGTTTCAGTAAGTATAACGCAAAGGACTGCCCCTCTATGCTTTCTAGTTAATCGTCCTAAATAAAGCAAAACTGAAGAAATCTTAACTTTTTAATGGAAAAGGTTATGATGAAAATGGTAGTTAAATCTCAGATCATTTAGGCACTCTTGATAAACTTTCCCACACAAATAGAACACTAAAATTTCAGAACTCATTTTAAAAATAATGTAAACTAGTTTATAAAGTAATGCACATAAAGCTTGAATGTATAAGTGGATATATAGGTAACAAATATTTCCTGCACCCTATTCTACTTCCTAGTCCTATGGGAAAGGTCAGAAATCACCACTGATACCTGCTGGTGTGAGTATCAGCGCTTGGAGGATGTCAGACAGAGAAATAATACCCACAATACTATCTGCTTCATTGACTACCACGAGCCGATGAACCTGCAAACAAGAGCAAAGGAGACCACATGTGAACATTCAGATTAAAAAGTTTAAAAATAGGTATTAGAAAGATATTATAAAGTTAGACAGTCATGTACTATACAATGAACACGTTCCACAGATAAGAAGAAAGTAATAGTGTATGGAACCATATCGAGTCGTTGGCTCTAATGTGTTAAAATATAATGCTGATTTGCTTGAATGTGTTAGAAAAATTAATTAGCCAGCTATGTTCTTGCTAACAAGTTTTCAAATTTCAAAATATTAATACATGAAAGAACTCAAAACACCAAGTACAAGGTACTTGTATTATTCTCTTAAACATAATTGCTTTAAAGTTTTAAAGTTGCGCTTTAGTTTCTAATAACTAGAAGATATCCATTTTACATGTGGAATGACCACTGAAAATGTAACTATAAGGTCACTTTTTAAAAGCTTTTAGATGGCTTTTTAGGTGGTGTGGTACCTAAGGCACCTGACTGCTAACCAGAAGGGTAGTGGTTCAAGCCCACTAGCTGCTCCACAGAAGGAAGATGGCGCAATCTACTTCAGTAAAGATTTAGTACTTCAGAAACTCAATGGAGGTCACTATGAGTTGGAATCGACTCAATGGCACAGGTTGTTTATTTTTTTTAATCTTTTCTCAGTCAAATTCATTTCTAAAATCATCCAGATGACAAATGAACGAAAATAAAATAGATTATATTCATTTCAACCTTTTCACCAAGAATACTTTTTAGAGTTCCGGTAAGATGGCGGACTAGGCAGAAAGACTGCACAGACCCTCTTCAACAAAGAAAAGGGAAACCAATTAACACAGAAACAGAAGATAATCTTGGACCCCTGAGCCTTGAAGGGGAGGATACAGAAGTGGACTAAACCCCAACTAGCAGAAGAATTTGAGTGAAAATACCAAAACAAGGAGACATATGGAGCTGCAGTCTGGCAGCGATTCTGAGCGATCCTGATGGCATGGCACACAGAGCCTGGAGATTCCCTAGTGGTGGCAGAACCTAAGAATTAACCTAAAAATCAGCCCTGCTAGCCAGGGACTGCACAGAGGACTGCTCTGGT